GAAGATGACATGGAAGATTCGGTTCTCTGTATTTGCTCCTTTGTTACGAACAAAAAAAAACTAAATTTTTAGTTTAGAATCTAATATATTGATTCAACCATGAGAAATAAAAATTGGAAAGACTAATTTTCGACAATTGTACAAATATACAACAAAGAGATAATCTCTTCCATTTCACATTGTTGCTTTCGCCTTGATGCATTTCATGATTCCAGCGATATATTTCGATACCAAATATATTATATCAAAACATAATTTCTGAAACATTCTTCCTTGGTCAAAGGAAAATTTTTTTTGTTTAATCTTGAACTCCTCTTCCGTATGTCGAATTCATGGTGGTTTCTTTGGTGGACATTGTTTCCATAACAAATCTGTTAAATTTGTCTCAAGCACTTAAAATTCATATAACCACCGAAAACACTTGATTCTTCATTCATTTCAAATAGATGGGTAGTCTTGTCGTCGTTACAAGTAGAATTGAAGAACTTCTCAAGTAGAGAGAAGACAAAGAATATGAAATTACCGTGAGAACCATTGTTGCACTTATTTGTGCCTGGGCCCACATCAAAATTGGACAATTACGATAAGAAGACAATTGTCTTCCATTCGCCATTAACCGCTCTCAAAGAGACACGTAATTGTGCTTTGTTTGTAGTGTATCTAGTTATTATAACAGAAATTGTAATCTCTATACAAACACAAGTGCATAATTTTTACGGATGGAAAACTGCCTTTATCGCTGATGTGTTCTTTTTTAATGGCCATCCTACCCCTATAGTTTCTAAATACAACCTACACTATTCAAAATATCTACACCCCTACCGATACACTTCTCTTTTTGAATCAACCATTTCATTTCTTTCAATCTCTTTGGTTTCTCCGTTGCAACCATTTCTCATCTCTCTTAATCGATCTATTTGTTCTATCGTAACCAATTCCATCTCTCTTAATCTCACCGGTGCTCGCCTGACCAGTCTGTCTTCTCGCATGTCTCCACCCCACCGTTGTGACCACATCTCTGCCGCACCAGAGCTCTGCCGTGCCCGCGTCTTCTCTTCTCACTGCTGTCACTTCTCCGTCATTCTATTGTGGGCACATGGGGTGAGTCTTAGGCTGAGAGGATTGTAGCTAGTAGAACAGTCAATTCGTCCATCTCGGGCTGGATCGAGTGGTGCAGTTCGAGCACGATGAACCGAGCGGTTAGGTCTGCTTAGTTCGATCGATGCAAGCTCACGGGAGCTGAGGGAGTCGAGCTTGTGTGCTCGTAAAAAGAGCTAAAAATATCTCTCTTGTCTAGAAAAAAAATATAGAAATATGTATATGTTTAGCCGGCTAAAAACACATATGTTTTTTGTATTTATTTTCCTTGATTTGATTTTGGGTAATGTTAAATTATGATATTTAAATTAGAATTTTTATACTTTATCCGTAAATGTTAGTTGGTTTTTAATTTATATTTATCGGCTATTTTTTATCAGTTGGTGGTTGTTATTTTGTATCAGTTCGGATAAACAAAAAGTTAACCCTCTAATAAATCACAAAATATGTGATTAGATTTACATGTTCGGATAAACATAAAACTAACTCATTAACAAATCACAATATAAATGATTAAAATGGTTGTTTAGCCAGTTAAGATTGTACTTGACTTTTTTTTGGTTATAGTTAGCCAGTATTATTTACTAATTATATTGACATTGTAATAGTTACACGATAATATATACTAATTAATGATGTAAATTTTCAAATAGCTGGTTAAGATTTTACTTGACTTTTTGATTATATTTAGCCGGTAAGATACACTAATTATTGTAATATTGTAACTTGAACTGTAACATTGAAAGCATCTAAGACTCTGAGGATCATTCGAGAAATTCTAAAAGGGTTTGAAATGTAGAATCTGAAAGTCTTGGGCGATTTGTAAAGTTATTTGTACTCATGAAAATATTAGGGACAACTCGAGAATTTCCAAAGGTTGCGGGCATGTCTTTAATACACAAGAAATCACCATTTTTGCTCGATCTCTTCCGTATCAAGACAAAGACGGCGAGGATGAGCATGATGGTGAGGCTTGAATCCAAGCATGTCGACGTAGGCAGAGAAAGAAAACGGAGATGGTCCGGTGACCCGAGACAGATGCGACAATTTGCAGCGGAGAAGAAGAAGCTTGAGGCAAAGACGTTCATGGTTGATCCGTTTTCAGTTAACGATGAAGATAAACAAGGAAGAGAAGCAGGATCACGGCGTGGTTCGAGCTGGCCATGGACGACGGCCAAAATGGTGGTGTTTTTAATCAATAGAGATATGAATGATATGATGTAAAGAAGTTTATGAAATATATTGTTCGAGGATATCGATATTTATAGTGAAAATCAGTATGAAAATTCCCTTTTTAAAGAATCATGATAATGTGGAAACAAAGAAAAGAATCCTATCTTTTCTGGTTTTCGTATTTAAAATAAACTGTGTTTATATGTATGTAATCATCACAGACCTTTCAGATAAAGAGAATAGGATCAGGAAAACTCTAGGATCAGTATGGTTCTCATAAACAAGAGCTAGGGCTTATGTTTTGAGTTTAGACCATCTATTTTTTCATTCCTGCAAATTATTTGATTTTTCTCTATTTGGTGTCCAAATTATTCTTATTATAAGCTATAACATATTATTATTCAACTAGGGTTTGCCCCATCATACGGGCGGGTTGGTTATTGAAAAAAAAATGCATAATATATTATCAACTTTATTAAATATTTAAAATGATTACTTTACTCTGAATTGAAAATAATCTCTATTTCAATATGTAAGATTTTCTGGTTTTTCTTTTATTACAGGAAAAGCTTCCAACTATAATACAAAATATTACAATTATACATGTATTTTAAATTTTACAAATAACAAGTATATATTTCTACATATTATCTAAAAAATCTCTAAAATAGACATTTTTAAAGTTTTTATCACAAAAATATACCTCAAAAATTAAAATAACCAAAATAGCATTTTTTATTTTGAAAATTTTAATTTTAATTCTTAAAAAAAAAATTGAAACCCTATCCCCAAAAACCCCAGTACTCAATTCAAACAAAAAAAGTTTAAGATTAGTTAATCCAAGGGGTATAAATGTATATTTACTTATTTTGATAAAATATTTAAGTCTATTTTGGTTATTTTTATTTTAAGGTCTATATTTGTGACAAAATTATTTTTTAGATTTATCCTAGAAAATTTATCTATTATCTGTTTTGGGTAACACTGATATTTTTGAAATGATGCTTGTTATATTTCTAGCATGCTTTTTTGGCATATCTTTTGAATTTTTTTGTTGAAAACTTGAAATGCTGATAAATACCCATATAATATAATTTATTTCACTTTTTTCGCAGTTTGTCGACTGGAATGATACGTCTGATCATCTCTTATCCAACCACTTCGTTAAGCATTCTTAGCTTAGTTAGCCACATCCTCCTCTAATATATAGAGGTTACATTTTAGCTTCTGATTCTATTTTGTTATATTATCCTCTTTTTATGTTTATTAATTATTTTCTTTCGACGTTTAATTTTCATTGCGTATGATATATTTTTTAATTGTTTTTTTGAAATATAGAATATACTATTTTGAAAATTTTGCAATATACAAAAAGATATTTCCTTATTTTAAAATTATAATAATTTGAAAGTTTAAAAAAAGTATTACAGTCTAAATAATGAATGCTAAAGTGATATTTTCAACAAATAAGATATTTTAATTATTAAACGTGTAACATATCTGAGTGTTGAAAATGAGTATTATAATATAGTTACTGAATCCGAAAAGGATATTTTCAAACCAAGTTATATTATATGTTATAGAGTGGGATTGAATATGGTGTTATAAACATACACGTAACTATTGATCTTTTGATAATGTAGGATGAAGCATAAAAAACATGGAGCTCGTATTTTGTTTATCACAGAGTCATCACATTTCCAAAAAGTTATAAGAATATTCTTTTGGCCTGAAAGGATCATAATGACGCTGTTCAATTGCGAGAGAGTGGAATGAGTAGTGGATTCGACATAAATGCTAGGATTAGGAGATTTAATATGAAAACGGGTGACGCTACATAAGTGGTGGCCGGAGAGCTCAAGAGCCGAAGAGTGATGGAGCAAGAGATAAGTTATTTTTTGTTGGTAACCGTGTGAAATTCTGAAAAAAATGGATCAGAAATAAATTTAGAGTAATGACCACGAAAAAAATATATATAAGAGCTTAGTTAAACTTTGATTTACATTATTAAAAAAAACAGGTGTCACAATTTTAGATATTCAGCATAATGTTGAGGTGGCAGGAGTAAGTTCTCGATGAGAAAGATACAGACTTGATAACTTGGGTTAGAAGTTTGGTTAGGAAGAGTCAAGGATTAAAAGCTATTGATCCGAAAATTCAGCAGACAGGCTCAGAAGATCACATGGAAGCTCTCAAGATTGGTTACCTTTGCACGGCTGATCTTCCTTCAAAACGCCCAAGTATGCAGCAAGTTGTTGGTCTTCTCAAAGATATTGAACCAAAACCTAATCAATGTAACATGAACACATTCAGAATCTTTTCAAATGTTTTCCCTGTAAGAGTTTCATTTCTTGGCGCCTTTTTAAGCTGTTTTGTTCTTTTCTATGGCTGCTTCATGTGTAAGGATTGTATCTATGGGTTTGATTGCTTTTACATCTATCTCTAATGTTCTTGCTTCACATAAATCTGTTGATGACTCTAAACTCTCCTTTTATTACATGTAGTACTGTTGAAATTTGATTGAAATTTGCAAAACAAAACGATTGATTATTGCTATACACAATAAAATTTATATTTATTCTGTTTTTATTCCGCAGATTAGGTTTATAAAATATTTACTTAATTACAAACCAATTTTTTAATTCAATTTTTAGAAAGAGGCTGTTGAGTCTTTATAGAGTAGAGGCTCCAACAAATTGTAAGAGTGATCAACAGATTTTTACAACGTTTCAGAAATCGAATTCCTCTATCTCATCGTTCCGCCAATTCTTCTCGAAAAAAGCATGTACTCTGGCAATGCCATATGTATTTTCGCAGAACTTGCAATCGACATTTAAACACAACCTGATCGATGTCTCGCACTTATATCTGGCAATCTCGTTAAGAAGGTTTTCAAGTTCATGGCTACAAATTAAATAGCCACTTCCCTCATGTAGAAATCTACAATGTGCGAGGTTAAGGATCGTTAGGTTTTTGAGGTTTGTGATGAGAGGCAAAACGTTAGAAATATCAATGATGTCGCAAAAACGCAAACTCAGCTTCTTGAGGTTTGGAAAGCAACGAACGATTTCCTCAGCCACAACTTCGTTAATGCAACCCATAATTTTGAAGTTGGTGAGGTTTATACAGTTCTCTCCGCTAGCTTGAATCATGTGTCTCCAGGTTAATGATGAGTGACGTTGATCAATGATTAGGGTTTGTAGATTCCCCCACTGCCTGAATGCAAACTGATATGAGTTCTCACTTAAATGGCACCATCTTGGTAAGACAAGCTTTCTTATGTTTGGCATCCTAAAAAAACAAAAAAAAAAGTGATGAGAAATGAAGCAAACAGGCTTTGTAAGATTCTAGCTTGGATGTATATATATTATATTTTTTAGCTCGGATATATATATATATATTTTTTTTGTTACTAGCTTGGATATATTTACCTTTGCGCAGCGATGATGAGATCCTCATCAGTTAAGTAGGTATCATAGTTGAAGAATAAGTTGATCGGAACAGTGCTGCTGAATTTGGTGCCTTCATTCAAAATCTTATCACAACGGTACACTCGTTCGTTTACGTTTTCATCTTCGACCCGGGAGTTTGGTAATCGAGGATGGCTGAAGTCCACGCGTTGGAGATTTGCGAGGTTGATGGTTTTCCAAAGAGATTTTTCGTGAGAGGCAAGGAACCAAGAGATATGCAGACACGAGATGCTCCCATGGTCACATCTATTACGTTGAGCTTCTCGAAAATCTTGACCAAAATATCTCTATCCATGTTTTCCCATTTCAGGTTTTTTCTTGATCTTGCCACCATCACATTGCAGCTGCATAAAAAAGAAAAATTCATTAGATGAAATATGAAAATGATGGATTCTTGAATTTATAAAGCGACGTGAAGAGGAGAAAAAACATTGAACAAAGGAGAGATTTCACAGAGAGTTTCCATCTATGGGCTCTTCTTGGACCATCTAATCTCTTCATCTCAATGCACGGGAAAAAAAAAAGAGAATTAAAAAAAAAACTATTGGAGATATTCCTAAGGACTAAAGCAAAAGACGACTGAATTTATGATATGAAAATCTGCGTGGACAAAACTTCTACACAGGACAAAGAGCAGCTTGATTATGTGTAAGAAGGTCCACAATAACTCGTTAAGACATATCATGTGCAGACCATAAACTATAATCATACACACCAAACCTTTTGTCCTTCTTACACTTGACATTTTGACACCAGCAAACAAACGTCAATATCGAGAGTACAGAAGCCCAACGACTGGAAGCCAGTGATGGGTCTTCTCTGCGGTCTTGGAGAGAGCTCTGATATCAGGGAGATTGTAACAACTCATTACGGGCCAAAACTTTCACAACGCAAATGGGTCTGTCTACGACCCATCAGGAATTAAAACCTAGGGTTTACCTCTCTTCTCCTATTTAAAGAACTGTCTCCTTATTTTTTTTGTCCTATTCGCAAATTGGAAGCAGAGCCCTGCAGAGAATTTCCGGAGACCATAAACCTTAGCCATCAGCCCCTTTCTCTCTCCTCTTTCTCTCTCCTTGCTGGCTTCATCTTCCTCTCTCTGCTCGTCGTGCGTGAGGTGGTGGTGATTGTGTGGTAGTGATCAGATCTCATCTTCTTCTTTCTCTTGTTCCAGATCTCGTTTTTCAAATCCAAATCTCCAGATCTCAGATCTATTGCTAAGGTGAGTTGATTCGAACCCAGATCTATTTTCATAATCCTCTATTCTGGTTGATATTGGAATTAGGGTTCAGATAGTCCTTGTTTGAAAGTTAAGTTGATAGATCATAATGGGAGTAAGGTTGATAGATGAATGAATCAGGTTGCATAAGAACCTTCATCTTGTTCAAATGGGACTTAATGTATGCGAATGAGTTAAAGATAATGAGAAAACGAAAGTGAATGAGAATGTGAACAATGATGAGAAAGAGAATGAGAAAGTGGTCGTGTCAATGAACTTGTTTGAAGTCTTGTTTGGACCACCGAGAACGGGTGGGCGCCTAAAGTTTAGGATGTGTTAGCCCACGGGACAGTAGCCTAACATGAGGTACCCGTGGGTGGTAAGTGAAAGGCCGTGAAAGGACGGTGACCACCAAGGCGGAGTAAATCTAGGTATAGGCGCACGCCTTAAGATCGAGTCAATGCCGAATCGTGGAAAAATGTATCTGACCGCGTACGTGGCGGGAGCCGCGGGTGGACAGGGTTGCACGTGGGCCAGCAGGAGCTGCAAGTGGGCCAACGAGCTACCCGCGGGTGGTTACTTAGGGGCTGGGGGACAGCAGTTCGTGTAAGATCTTCCATAACTGGGAGATATGCGAGGTGGGACGTCCATAAGACGGTCGTAGATCCTATAGGTCTAGGTTGATTGGTGAGTCTAAGTAAAAGGATGATTGTGTGATTGAGTCTATGTGAAGCAACGGCTGAGTCCTTGCGGTGTATGAACGTTAGGGTGCTAGAATTCTATGTTGAAATGTTGTTGTATGGCTTGTATGTTGCATATTTATTGTAGTGGCTAATCGGTCCTGATTCCCGCATGGGGTAGTGTAGAGTAAGTCACTTCACTGACTAATCCCAATTGCTCATCCCTCCATTTCCGTTTTCACTGTGCGCATGACTGTAAGTAGAAGTAAATGGATACGAGTGGATCAGATTTCATTAAAAGACTGCGTCCGCTGATTCCTGGGACCTGTAAGGGACACGTAGGGTTGTCTAATTGAGTAGACACGTGTCCGTGACGCCCTTTCACTAAAACCCGGTCAGACGTCGGGGGATCAGATTGTTACAATTGGTATCAGAGCTGGGGTTAAAATCCCTTAGTACTATCCTAAGGGGGTCGGCAGCCTAACGTTTTCAAAAAAAAAAAATTGGGTCTTGTTTCTTTCAAAAGAAGTTTGAGAAAGTTTTAGAGCATTTCAAAAGATGCGAAAAGATTTTTTTTAAAACCACCCAATGTATCTACATTTCTACTATGGTTCTGATCGGATCTTTATTGCAGGATGTTTCTGCTGAACAATTACGAGTGGAGGAGGCCGCACATGCACTATGGACCGAGGAATACCCAGGCGTACGCCTGTACGCAGCATGAGGACGCGGAGGGTAATTGGGTGTTGTCCATGTTCCCAGAACCAGAGGAGCATTACAGGGAGTTTCTGTTCGAATACCCTCATGAGCAGATGGTGGCGCGCAGGGTGTTGATGCCACATTTCCAGAGGATGGCTATGGAGAAGCGCGTACTGCAAGGTCATGCGACATTTCAATTTTCAACAAAGGAGGAGCTCCCAAGGAAGCGAGGCCGCCCAAGCAGGACAATGAGTACAGCTGGGGAACCCTAGAGGACGTTCACCGGGAAATGCCAGTGTAAGGCACTATTCCAGAATACTCAAAGAGACCGATCAGTTGTGGGATACACTGATGACTTCATTAATCAAGCCAAGTTGTGTAAACCGAAGACTGGTGAAATGTGGTTTGAATGGTACAAGAACGGGCTTCGTAGGGACATTATGGAGTTGTTACAACCCGATCCCCCGGTGCTCGACCAGGGTTTCGCAAAACGGTGTTACAGACACGTGTCTACTCAATTACACAATCCTACGTGTCCCTTACTGGTCCCAGAAGTCGGCGGACGCAATCTTTTAATGAAATTCGATCTACCCGTATCCATATACTTCTACTTACAGTTCTACGTGTCCTACTCAATTAGACAACCCTATGGACGGGTAAACACGTTATAAGTAATTGAAAAGAATTTCAAATTCTAATAAACATTTGATATTTTCAATTATTTTTTTGTGTCTATTTTGCGCTAAGACTTTAGCAAAATTGTGGGAGGTATGACTATTAAAAAGCAATAATGTATTTAAAGAATACAATCGTATTGTGTAAATAGTTTAATATATATAAATTCTCCCGGAGATCATTTATTCTTAAAGGGCAACCTGTTTAGGACCACACAAATTCATAAGTTTCAAGCTAATCGAATTAAATACAAAAAAAACTTATTTACTTAAAGTTGTATGATGAATAGTGTTCATGTTTTATTGGAAGAGGTAAGAAAAGAGTGCTAATTTAAATTGAAATTTAACTCGCATGTTTTCTTTTTTTTTCTCTCTTATTTTCAGGGGTATTAAGGTTTTATTAAAATTTCACAAAATATGATAAACTAAATTTTTTTGTCATTAAGATTTTTCTAAACATTTACATACAGTATTACTTCTTCTATTTCATTATAGTTTAAAAGAAAAGCATTAATATTAAGAAATTTATTATATTTATAACATAGTATTTAATTAATAAAATTTACTAATTATAAAAAAGAGACATTATTTGATTGGTTACATTATATTTAGTACATGTAAGAGTTACCTAGATGTGAGAAAATTACCTATATTTTGAAACGGAGGGAGTAGTATAAAGTTTTAATGAAAATACATTATTTAATTTATTTTTGTTAATAAAAACAGAACTTAAGAAGAAATTATTGTTTGCAAAAGAAATGAATGATTATTCATGAAATAGATCAAGATATACAACCCACATTTGTTACTTTGTATTTGTAACTTCAAGAATTATTATTTTCCTGTAACAGAACTATAAGATTTATTACTCTAAGTAATTCAAAATCAATAATTATCGATTTTTAGTATTTCTTTCTATTGAGTTTTAATTTAAATGTTAGTATTAAATAACTATATTCAATAAAGTTAAAAAAAAGAATCTGATCAGACTATTGTAAAGTCTTTCATACATTTTTTATATTCGATCACTGTCGACCACTCGTGGTGGCTCTCTTCCTGTCAAGAATCTTAGGAATCGTTTTGGTTTCTTCATGCATATAACCGAGTTGGCAGCGATCAAGACCACAATACGATTTATTTATCTAATCTTCAGTTGTGATTTACCGTGTTCATCATTAGTTGATGTCAAAGACATTTTGGTTAATCAAAAGTATCTAAGGTATATTTTTAAGAAACCTCGGTGAAAATAATAAACGCTAGATGTAGAGATTTCTCAGATACTTTTGATTAATCAAAACACTATATATAATATTTTTAGGGATACATATTGTAGTAAAATTACAGTAAATAGGTAAAAAAGTGGAATTTATTGAATGATGCCATCAAAATATTTAATTAAAGACGAACCGACAAATAAACGAAAAGTCAAAAGATCAACCAAGTATCTTAACACATGTCATGTTGAGAAAAGATGAATTAGTGACATAGCATTCATATGAGAGAAAATCATACTTTACATAATAAGAGATACTATATATATATAGGGAAAATTGCATAAAAAATCATGAAATTGGCAAAAGTTTGCATTTTAAACCTTGAGGCTCAACTGCTAACACTTTAAACAATGAAACTTGTAACAATAACATATTAAACATCGAACTAACTTACTTGTTGCACAAGTCAAAATTGTGACCTGTTACTGTTCACTAGCAGGTAAAAAAACGGTGACGTGGCGGTTTACCTAAAAAAAATTAATAAAAACAATTAAAATTAGATAAAAAATCAATATAATTCTAAATTTGATATAAATTCAGGAAAAAATAAAGAAAATAAATTAAAGTCAGAAATTTTAAAACATAAAAATAAATTTATAAATTTAAAAGTTTATAATAAAAATAAAAATAAATAGTAAAAATCGATTAAAACTAATAAAATAGTAAAAATAATAAAAAGAAAAAAAAGGTGTAAAAATCGATAAATATAGAAAATAGGAAGTTATAAAAAGCTGGAAAACAAATAAAAA